GCTAAAAATCAGACCTGCTGATGTTCTGGGGAAGATCTCTCTTGGAATTTTTGCAGGTCTGTTTTTGTTGTTTGCAAATGGTTGTGACTTGTAAAACGGCAGGATTTTTTGGTGTTGCTTTTTACTTATTTATTTCCAAATTGTTAAGTAGGTGCTCAAAGCGAACTGGGTTCTGAATACCCAGTTTTTCCTGACTTGGGCACTTCTTCATTTTAGGCACATAGCAAGCATGTCAGATGCATACTGAAGCTACCTTGTGTGGAAAATTCTATTTGTTTGAGTTTTGTTGGTGCTCCCAGGCTCTATTCTGCAGTCCCTAGCACTTACTCGGTTTATTTGCTTCCTATTCCTCCTATGGCAACAAGTTGTAATTGTTGTATTGCTTAGGACAGATTTTTGTAACAGAACACTGTACCTTTTAAACTTGCCAGCATCTGGCTTGGCGTGCTGTATTATGTCTCTTGAATGGGAAGGTGGTGGTGTAGGGTTTTTTTAATGCGTACTTTGGAGTTTTAGACTGCCTGTAATTATCTGTTTTGTGGCTGGTTTTGATTCATTTCGCTCTTCTGGCCCTTGCTCTCACTGGAGCAACCTCACTCAAGGGGATTATGGACTTGGATTTTCCAATGACTAATTCAAAAATTGTAACAAATGTAGCCAGATCCTTTGTGTGGGCTTCCTATGGACAACTGCATCTTCCACCATCCCATCCCATCCCACCATGGTTTACTGCCGGCAGGCTCCCACATTGAACTTCAGCAATCTAGCCTCTGGTTGATTGAATTTCAGTTCAACAGGGTTAATCATGGTTTCATCACTGCACTGCAGTGTTGTATTTGCATGGATTGCAGTGTTAAACAGAAGGCGGCCAGTCCTGTTGAAACAGAGCTGGACACCATGCTGTTTTTGAGCTCTGCTATTTAGAGTTGATGTGTCATGGAAGCAGTTGCTGAACTTCTACATGTCTCCCTCTGTCTCCTCTCCCCCTCTTAAACTCACAGTGGAGTTGCTGAAGCTTTATTGGTTTTGGAAAATATTACAATAATTGAAATAATAAGATACATTGCAGATATGATAATACTGCAGCATACTGGTTAAAAGGGTGATGGTGTTCTCCACAGACAGTGGTTAAAACCCCAGGAATTATTTTTAGTGACTTGTACCTGTAGAAGTATTAGTGTCAACTGCAGAATAAAAAGCAAAAGCTCTGGTCTTTTAAAGATGGACACTTGCAAACCACACAGAAAATAAATGCACCATTATTGTATATCTTACTAAGTACTTAACAGGGCTTGTGGGTTTTTTTTATAGTAATGAAATGGGTATCTTGTTTGATAATTAATGTAAGCACTTCAAAGATTCACACAGCTTCTTTTCATTGACTGCTTACTTGAACTTGGGGAGAGTTGGACTGGCAGTTCCTGTAGGTCACTGACTGCTGTGATGCCACGCTGTTTCTGAGGAAATGAGATGGCCACATGCTGCAATGAAGAGTGCCATAAACTGCTATGTAATTCTCTTCTTATGTGTCACTCGTCTGTACATCATTCTTGCAGTTCTCACAATTGCAAATTTCATGGATAGATTTTTTTTTTTTTTTTTTTTTTTTTTTTTTTTTTTTTTTTAATGCTGTTTGTCTAGTATATTTAACCACTAATATGCTCCCAACTAAGTTTCTTTTAGATATCAGGATAAGGATAACTGCTGGGAGCTTTTTACATCTGAGTTATTTTTAGGTGGGTTGAATGCATATTGCATGCTCAGAGGTGTCCTGGGTTATAGTTTTAATAGTGTTTCTGCAAGTTCCTAATCATTATTAATGTAACCGTGAAAATATGTTAATGTTCTATGTAGTGTAGAGAAGATTTGGTGTCAGCCTGGAGGAATTGCTCAGTAAGGTTATATATACCGTGTTTATTGTGATATATTTGCCAACAAAGGGAGAGGAAGAGAGTATGGTCAGAATTCTGCAGATTCTTTGATTTGCAAGAAACCCACCTGCTTTGCTGAAAAACTCTGAGCTTTATTAAAGCTTAACTGAAAATTATGTAGAGTCAGAGACTTTGGTAGTGTCTTTGGAACTGAAAGCTGGTTATGTGTCTCCACTTCGCAGAATATTGTTTGCATCTGCAGTACAGGTAGTGTCCTTGCAATTTCAGTAGTGTTGTTGTCTTAAGACTGCCAACTTTCTGTCTTGGTTAATACATGACTTCACACTTTTAGCAGGTGTAGTGATTATTTTCCTATATTGGGAGGAAATTTTCATAGTGCCTATTTGTACAATAGATACACTTTGAATTGTCCTTAACCAAAAAAGTTGACTTAAAAAAAATTTTTATGTACTTTCTCTTCTTGTGCCCTCTCTCTAGTGTAATAGAATGCACTACAGAGATCATGCCCTGTTTTCTAGCTTTGCCTTGAGGCACCAGTTAGGGAGGCCATCTTCCTCTCAATTCCATCTTTCACAAACACACCTAACGTTTCCCTATATTGTACGCATTTGTTGCCTTAACTCTTGGAATCAAGGCTCAGTCACTATGTGTGAGCTGCTTCTCCTGGCTCATTGAAATGTTGCAACTGTAATTAAGAAATCTCCAGAAAACTAAACTTTACTTGGGAAAGGTGTTCAAACTTTTTTTTTAAGAAAGCCAACTTGAACTGTACTGCGTCAAACTTGCACAGTTGTCACTGTTCTGTCATTAAGGCAAAAATGAATCTTTTTTTCATGTAGTGTTGTGGTCTTGTGGTATTTTGTCCCGCAGAGTTTCTGTAGATTTGATAATAAACTGCAGCCTAAGCAGTGTTTGGTTTCTGACCATTTCTGCATACAGCCCTACAGTAGTAGCTGCATAAAAGAAAATTCCACTGAAAAATGTCTTTTAAGCTGAAGAAAACTAGTCTCAAGAAAAAAATTGAAGGAGGAAAAATAATATTTTGGAGCTGGACTTTTTTTTTTTTCTCTTTCATTATTCTTTAACAAAACATTATTTCCCAGGTAGGAAAATACCCGGTAGAAAAAGTTTGATGTGTTCTAAGTTCTTATGTTCCTGCGTTGAGCATCATATTTCAGAGTGGTTGCTAACATTGTCTTTTTGAATAAGGCTTGGATAATTTTGCTATTCATAACATTATTAATGTTCATTCTTCTTGGTTTTCACTAGCCATGAGGGGGAAAGATAGCTTTGAGTTTTTCTTCTTAACTAGATTGGATTTAAGGAAACAAAACTGTCTCTAGTTCTTTGATCTCATCTTGTATTCCCTTGTTCCGTATTTTTCTTGATCTTGATGTGTCCTTTGAATGCAGCACTGACTACTAAACAAGCCTGCAACATGGTTTCTTGCAGTACTGGTTTTCAGAAAGGTAAACTTTGTTTACCAGAGACTGTAGAGCATGGGAGATACTTAAGCCTCACCTTGCTACCAATTTTTAAGTCTTTTGTCTTCAGAATCTCTTTGACCTAGAAGCAGCTTGGAAGTCAAGGTATTGGTGTAGGATTGGGCTGACCAAGGCTGTGAGGTGTTTGTCTTATTTTGCTGTCATTCTTGCAAGTGAATGGTCTAAACACCAAGGTGGAGATAAAAAATATTTGTATTAGATAACATTGCTGAAAAAGGCAAGGGAGGCACAATTATGCTAAGCAAAGGCAGTTTGTGCTGGGTGCTCTCCAGTGTGAAGTGGTCAGTGTGGTGATTGCTGGCATGCTTGCCAAGTACGTGCGACTTCCAAAGTTGGAAAGGGGCGGAAGTTTTTCTGTTGCCTTTTATTTGTTTTGTGGTTGGTTGTTGGGTTTTTTTTTTTCCCCTCTGTCCTTGGAGGCCACCATGGCCCATGCTGAAGTGAAGGCCCAGGTAGATGACATTGTTGTCAGTTGTTTTGTTGGAAACCCAATTGGGGGTTTCTGTTTACATTTCTTAAATGTTGATTGATTAAGCTGCTGTGATCTTGTAGATTTGGAATGTTCTTAGACATGTGTAAGCATCCAAAGTCATCATAATGCTGCTCAGCTTTAGCAAGCTATGAATGAAAATTGTTGCGTTGACTTCTCCAGTTCCAAAGGAGAGCCTTGAGATAGTTTGAGTTAATAGAAAGTAATTACTGACACCCATTGTCACCTGTCAGGAGGGTGAAGTTTTGTTGGTTTTTTTTTGTTTTTTTTTAACTTTTCAGTGAATAATAATGTCTTTCCTCAGTCTTGGAGGACAATGAGGAGTGTCTGGTGTCTTAAATTCTTCCTTGAGGTGGGAATGTGTGGCCTTAGCTGTAAAACGGGTGTCAGAAGGGTGCCACCTGCTAGGTCATGTGCAGGGAAGGAAAGCAGAGCCCTGTAAACTGGAACGTTGGGGATTAAAGCTGGAAGGTTTTACTGAAAGGTTGAGATTAAAGAAGCTACAGGATATGACTTGTAATAATTGCCATCAACTACAGTAACATCAGGTGGCTGATCAAATGCATTGTGTAACTGCTGTGACATGACATATTGTATGTAGTCAGAAGTGCAATTCATACACTGTTGCTTTAGTTTTGTTTCCCTTGGAGCTGTCCCAATGCTCTGCTTTGTTTTTGAAAACTCACTGACCTGGAACTATGCATAATTGTTTTCCCCCCCCTCTTTCAAGCACAGTGTATGTAGTAGACTACTATTCACAGACCTCCATTTTTGTTTATTTTTTTTTTATATTTTCTATCCTATTTGGCTTGCTTTTATGACTATTGATGTGTTCGATTTCCACAGGAGATTGCAGGTTATCTTGCACTTTCCTATTTGCTTGCACACATCTTAATGAGCTCTTTCTTGTTTTTGCCAGAGATGGTGCGCTGAGTCATTTCCACGAGAGGCTTCTGTACCACTCCGAAGCAAGAATACATTAAAGAATAAATGGTGTGAGGGTGCACCAGTGTTTTCCTGGCTGGAAAGCTAACCCCCAAGTGAATGTATTGAAGATTTCTAGAGTTGGTGGGACTAATATCTCTACCTCCAATTTTATGAATACTGCTAGCTATGGCCGTGGAACTCTGTTTGCTGCTGCTGCTGTTTTGTGGGAGTACTATTTCAGAGGTACAGCCTATATACAAACCGCCTCCTGGGACTTTGGATTTTGGATTTGTACCAGCCAAGACTTATGATACAGGTGCATACCATGAACCTGGGCCAATAGGAATTTTGTTTAAAATAGTACATGCATTCCTGTACTTAGTGCAGCCAAATTCTTTTCCTCAAGGTAAGTAGACATTTTTTTTAATAAAGATTTGTTATTGCTGCATTCATCCTATTGTAGATACCAAGACCATCATCTGGAACTAAACGATATGAAGGACTTTGTTAGTAGCATGTGTTATGGCCTGGAAACGTGTACAGTTTCATATAAACATAATATTTTTCTGCTAAGCATAGTGAGTGTGTGTGTGGGTTGTTAATGAAAATGAAATGTTGATGAAATTTAACAGAACTTTGCTTACATATCTCAAAGATGTCACTGGTGCGTTTGAGGCTTTTTTTTTTTTTTTCCTTAACTGAAACTTTTTCTAATGTATGCTCAGAAGCATGGGATAGAAGTAAAGCATAAACTGTTTGGTATTTAATACTAAATCCATATGAGACAGCTCTGAGATTTGCATATTGTGATAAACTATCACGTGGTTATACTATTATGAGATTTAGCCTAGGAATTGGAAACTTAGCAACTTGAAATAAATTTCATTTGCTTCCATATCTGTGTATCCATTGTCAAGTTTTATGTAAGGGCAGTTCCATTACACAGCCACGTGTAACTTCTTGTTCCTTTGTGAGCTGAAGTTAAGACTTTAAACTGCATTTGTTTTATTGAGATTTTTTTTTTCCATTCCTTTCCTACTAAGTTCTCTCTTCTGATATCTTAACTTTTTCTTTAGAAGTGTGTGTTTATTGAGGTTGCATTATTAAAAATGGCCAGCAGGTTGAGGGAGGTGATTCTCCCCCTCTGCTCTCATGAAACCCCACCTGGAGTACTGTGTCCAGCTCTGGGGCCCCCAACATAGGAAGGACATGGACCTGTTGGAGTGGGTCCAGAGGAGGGCCACAAAGATAGGAGAGGTGCTCCAGCCCTCAGATCATGAAGACAAGCTGAGAGTGTTGGGGTTGTTCAGCCTGGAGAAGAGAAGGCTCCGGGGAGACCTTAAGAGAAGCCTTCCAGTACCTGAAGGGAGTCTGCAAGAAAGCTGGAGAGACGCTTTTTTTACAAGGGCATGTAGTGGCAGGATAAGGGGTAATGGCTTTAAACTGAAAGAGGCTAGATTAAATTTAGATATAAAGAAGAAATTCTTTATGATGAGGGTGGTGAGACACTAGAAGAGGTTGCCCAGAGAAGTTGTGGATGCCCCATCCCTAGAAGTGTTCAAGGCCAGGTTGGATGGGGCTTTGAGCAACCTGATCTAGTTGAACATGTAGGGGGGTTGGAACTGGATGATCTTTTAAGGTCCCTTCTAAACCAAACCATTCTATGATTCTCTTGGAGGAACTGTTTCCAGATACTTCTGCTTTTTTGGCCACTTTCCTTTCATTAAATATGCAGATGAACTATTTGCCTCCCTGTGAGACTTGACATGTTAGGATTGTCATCTGCATTCAACTCTCAGAAACAGGCTTTTGTTCTGCCTAAAGCCCTGCTTGAATATTTTATTCTCTTATGATTGTGGAAGCTTGATTTCAGTGAGATGTTGATTGCCTCTATGTATTAGCAGGGATTTGGTCTGTAACATCGTATGTCAGATTTAACATTATGTGTCCTAAGCATATAAATAATCATTGAGAATAGAATTTACCATCAAGATTATAGTCCTGTGGGACTGCTTGTAGTAAGTTCTGCATCAAGTAGGTGTTGTGAAATCCGGTATTAAAGAAAAAGGAGACATCCAGAAGTAAATCACTTGTTCTTAGCTTGTAAGCTTTGAACATCTCATACCTCTCCTTCTTTCCTCAGAGATAGTTTTTGCCAAATCAGTTATTTTTAGAAGCTTGGCTTTCAGTGTTTACCTTAGGTGAAGTCCTTTTCCCATGCCCCCTCATACCTCACTGCAAAATACAGATTTGACAGATCATGTTGGTTTGAGTCATACCATTTAATTGGTTAATCCCCATAATCTCTTTTGCCATATGCTGTTCTATTTTCACATTCAGTGTATTAATGGTGTAGTAACATATTTGAAATGCCCTTTTTTTTAAATTGCCAAGTTGAAATACAGTTAATTCTGATTCATAGATGAAAATAAACATAATCACAAATGGGCACAGAAAGCAAGCCTTTTGATGTTTCTAACTCAAAACTTCATCATTCTGACTGGGCTGGTGCTTCAGAAGAATTAGTTCCAGGTTGATGCCCCAGTGTGTTGCGTATAAACGTAAGAGGTAGAAGTGTGATTTGTGTGCAGGACTCAGCATCAATCACTTAGACCTTTGATCTTAGTGATCTTAGATGTTTTTCCCTAATACTTGGAAGTACTTGCTGTTTGGTTTTCCAGTCTACTCTTCATACTCTTAACTGGGAGGAAAAAAGTGACAGGATTGTCTAATTGCATGTAGATATTCCTCCCTTTGCAAGTCATTTTTGTGCTTGCAGTAGTGCTCCGATAGAGGCCAGTAAATTCCGGTATAATGTTCATACTCTTTCAGTCCCAAGTATGCCTTTTAGGAAGAAAGCTAATATGATAAAGTAAAATATGACGTACATCGGAGTCTTTGGGAAATGTTGTTCTTAAAGTATTTGCATGCTGCTAAGCCTTAGTGTTTATTTAAATGTTTGTATGTGTTACTTAAATGAGTGATCCCTTTCAACTTCTAATGGAAAAAAAAAATCAATCAAGAAATAGTTTGTAAGTTTGGGTTTTTTAGTTAAATCTAAGTGAGTAATTATTTACTTGCTTTTAAATTTATTCATGCCACCTGGTTTGTGAACATCCAATTTAGATTAAGTTTTGATTTAATAGGTAAGTTATTAATGGGGTTACTTATAGTACTTGTATAAAGCACAGAACCAGGGCAAGCAACTGTAACTCTTAAGTTTTTTTAAATTGCTAAATCTTTAAGACCAGCACTGTGCTCTTTGGATATGGCAAGAAACTAGTTTAAAGAAGTGAACTAGGATATCTGATTGCAGTGCTTTGGTGAATGTAAATACATTCTGCTTTCAACTCCACCAGTCAAATACTTTTGTTCCCACTAGATGATGTACTGGTTAAATGGAAGTGAATTTACTCCCAAACATAAAGTGTTATGCAGGGAAGCAGCCGCCACTTTGAGTTAATGATACACTGGAGTGGAAAAGGCTGTGTTTGGTCACTGGTTTGCTGCCTGAGGCTCAGCAGGTCGCTTTAATCTTGCTGTGCCTTGTTTTCTCCATTTGTAAAATGGAGATGGCGGTGCTACTACTTTTGTTGGCGACTGTGTAGGATAGAGCATCGTTATTCTTTCTTGTTAATAGCACCACTTACAATAAATAGATAACAGGAAAATTACAGGTTGCTACTATCACTCAGTTAAGAGGACATCTAACAAAACAAATTGTCAGTTTTTATCTCACTTAGAATATGTCATAAACCGAAGCGTTAATTTATTAATAAAGTTAGTTCAGTTCATGGTTGTGTCATAGAGCTGACACACACTTGTGTTGGAGACCTTCAGATGTGAACTTGGTGTAGACAGGGCACGGTCAGTATGATCCTCTGGCTGCTCTGAATATCTTACCATGGCTTTGTCTTTGTTCCCATGGAAACCAGTTGTTAGCTGCAGTAAGATGTTGTTAATCTGAGATTTCACTTGCCAGCAGGATGTGCACAACAAATCTTCGGCTTCACAGCTTGTGTCTTGTAACGAAACTCTGAAGAGTTCACAAAGGAAACAAACTAGGAATAAAGCTCCTGCTCCTACTTTTAAGTGAAGTAAGACAAAAACTACAGGCCTGTTTCCTTGCTCTACTCTGCCTGAACGTATTGCAGGACAACTGTGGCACTTATGTTGAGCTTTGATTATTATTCTGGATCACCCTGCTTCTGCTGAAGCAGGAATAAAACTTCAGTATCAAAATCAGCTGTTGAATGCAGGTACTTCTTAGACAAAACATAAAATGAAGAGTTAAATGTACTATTTGCCTATATGAAGCAAGAACAAACTGGTTTCTGGACCTGGGCTACACCTCTGAATTCCTTCTGTTTGTGGAGTCTCACTTGTTGAACAGCTTGAGCATAAGACTGAGGATCAGAACCTGACTATTTTAATGCAAAGTCCTGTCTCTGACCCCTTTTGGTTTTCCTTTAAAGCAGCTGCAAACTGTGGAGCTTCAGCAAGTTAGTCTTGTGTTCCCTGTCTCTGCAATTAATATCTCACATGAGTGTATTCAGCAATTAGAACATTTTAACACTTAAAAAAAAAAAAAATCACTTCACTTGATGTGAAAATAAACAGTGTATCTCTAGCTAGTATAGCTGTGATAGAAAATGCGTATGCAAAACCCTGTTGTTGTAGGTAGGTTTGAGCTCCTAGGATATTGATTTTTTTTTTTTAAATATATTAATTGTGTTGGATGTGAGGTTCTAAAGCAAATAATCAAAACACTTTGTCACCCCTCAGTTAAAAACTCAGAAAGTCAGATTTTTGTGTGTGTAAAACTAACTTCTTTGCCTTCTGTAGCTGTTTAGTTCTTGGTTGTCCACGTCTACTTTAGTTTTGCTTCCTGTTAGTAATAAATCTTCCACAGCTCCCCTACAGAGAAAAAACGCATGTGTCTGGATGTTGCAGCATTTGAGCTAAACTCAGCCATGCGTAGCTGGTAATGTTCTTTTGTTCTTAAACTTGAGACTTTCCCAGGAATGTTGCACATGTCTGCACCAGCATGCAGTGAAAGGACTGGCACTCCAGCTCTGACTTACGTGCAGTTGCTGCAGTTCAGCAACATAAGATACTGCTCAGCTATCCAAATCAATTACGATTTTTTTATAAAAACTTAAATTACAATATCCTTTTTCCAATTGTGTGGTCTCATTTTTAGTTTGGGTGTGAAACTGCACTGATGTGATAGACTGCTTTTTCTGAGGTAGTGTTTGACAGCTACCCCCGGTGCATATGGGTTGGTTTTCTTAAAGCTTATGTCCTGGAGCTGGATTGGGAGCACAGAGGCAGCTGCTGGCGCAGGACCTGAGAAAGAAGGGAGGAAGAGCAATACCTGCCCTTCAGTAAGTTAGCTGTTACGAT